TTCTTATACTAATACTTTGGAGACCTTGAACGTTGCAGCAGATAAACCAAATAATCAGTATTCCAATACATATAACCTAGGCTAAAGGAAACACCATAATTTCAATTGGAATAATACCGATAACCAAGGGGTAGAAAACCAACAATGGAGTAGTAACCAACCTAACTCTTCAAGCAATTAGAATAACCGGAGCAGTGGCAACCCAAAAGTTACCTACCCTCATGGATTCACTTATAATCCCTAATTTAGGGAAAATAAACTATCTTTGGAAGAAGTAGTACTGAATATGGGGAATCAAATACAAAGTCATATTGTAGCTATTAAGAACATCGAAACACAACTTGGGCAAACATCTAACTCATTGAGCTAAATACCCAAAAAAACGTTACCTAGTAATACAAAAATAAATCCAAAAGAGAAAAAGGTGGAGCACTGTAACGCTATAAGACTTAGGAGTTCAAAGGTAGTTAAAGAGCCTAGAGTAGAGAAACACATAATAGAGGAGCTTGAATCTGAGCCTGATAGGCCTATAAAAAACTCAACTTAGGCTTAAAAAACACCTTCACCACCTCGAATAGAGTATGAAAAATGACCATATTTTCCTTAAAGATTTATTAAAAAGAAGTTGGACCACAATTCTCTGAATTTTTAGAAATGTTTGAGAAGCCCATTATTAACATTTTGTTTGCAGAAGCACTTGAGCAAATGTCCAGTTATAATAAATTTATGAAGGAATTTTTGAAGAAGAAAGACAAATTTTTTAATTTTGAAACTATGGCGTTAACTGAAAACTGTAGTGCTATAATTCAAAGAAAACTCCCACAAAAATTGAATGATTAAGGTAAATCTATCATCACATGCAGTATAGGAGACCGATTCTCTTGGAAAGAAGTTATGTGATTTAGAAGCAAACATAAACCTAATGCTTTTTTCAGTGTTTGTAAGACTAGGACTAGAAGTAGAACTAAAACAGCTTCTAACCCACCAATGTGACCCATCAATTAGCTGATCATTCTTTAACATTTTCAACAGGGTTTATTAAAAATGTCTTAGTAAAAATAAATAAATTCATCTTCCCTGTTGATTTTCATTATATTGGAAATGAAGAAAGATTTGATCTCGATTATTTTCGGCAAGCCTTTTTTTGCAACTAGTATCGGTCACATTGAGTTACAAAAAATAAAGTTAATTATTAGAGCACAAAATGAGGAAGTGACTTTATAAATTCATGATATTATACCACCTCCTACTTATATCTCTAACCAATATTTGAAATTGAAAATAGAAAGGTTTCAAGATATTTTGAAAGAGAATTCAGAAAAGAAAGAATTAATATTTTAAGAAGAGAAAATTTTGGGACCAGGATAAAATTTGATAGAAGAATCTCTAGGCTAATTAAAATATTGCACGAGAGATTGGGGATTTTTAAATGAGATATTTGATCCTTGAGAAAAACTTTAAGGATTCTGAAATTTGACTTGCTTATGAATTAGGCCAGGCTAAGGACGTTAAACTAAGTGGGAGGCGGCCCATATATTATCTTTTTATAAGATTACATGTCTTGCTTTGATTTTTTATGCATATTTGTGATTAGGTCAAGCTAATGACGTTAAACTAAGTGCATATTGAAAGGCAACCCAATTTCCCTTTTTCTGCTTTAGAATACCCTTGTGTATGATTTTGCTTATTAGAATCTCTATAGATACCTACCTCTCGCACAGTGTTGGAGTTTGATGTTAAAATTTGACTTGCTTATGAATTAGATCTTGAATATGTACCCAGATTTTATACTTGTCGATGTTTACGTATTAACAAATATTATTTGTTATATTTTGTAGTTTAATATTCTTTTGTTGTATATTTATATTCTATCTTACTATGCTAATCTCTTTGTTATTTTGTATATGCATGTATAGTGTCAAAAATAAGTTTGTGAAGGGAAAGGGGTTAAATGTATTCATATTTCCCTTTAAGTTAAAGTAAATATCTAGCTTTAGAGTTTATATAAATTGCAGGACAAAGGGAAATAAGAATAAAGGTGAATTTTAATAATAGGTAAATAACTTAAATTTCAATGACAAGAAATTTTGAAGGTTGTGAATTGGATTAAGAACTCACTAGTACTTCATCAATAACTTTAGTAATCCAATTCATATTATTTTTCATAAATTCTTAAGTGAGCAATGAATATTTAGTATTTTTTTAGGAAAAGTCAGAAAGTAATTGAAAATTTGACTCAAAACTTAGTATTCAAAAACATTAAAATAAGCTTAACTAGATATAACGATCCTCTATGAGAAAAATAATAAAAAGAAAATCAAAATAAAAATTAAAAAGGGTTAATGCTTAAAATTTTTTTAAAAAATTTGAACCTAAGAGGAGAAAATTAAAGTTAAGCTCATATTGAAATTTGGTACTGATAAACCTTTCTAACAAGTAAAAAAAACAGAACTATGAGGATTAGTATTGTTTAAGTGTAGCTAACCAAATTTCATGCGTGAAGGATTAATTTCATGAAATTCAGATCTTACATGAGGAATTAAAAAGGATTGTATAGATCAAGTATTAGTGAGAGCTAAATCAGGATATTAAGGGGTTGTTACGAGAATTCTAATTATAAGAGAAAATTATGAACTTTAATTTAAATAATTATTTAATTATCAAAAATCACTGAAATTTTTATCTAAGATCTTTCATAAATTTTATTGAATTCTAATCTTAGATTTTGAAATTACTTGAGGGCAGAAAATGTGTAATTTTGAGAGAATGGGTGACATTTATTAAATTTTCTGCATTTTTTTTTTGCTATTTATATCATATTTTATATTTTTTTCAGGTACTTTTTATGTTAATTGCGGGTTATAAATCTTGAAACGAGCAAAAGAACTAAATTTGAAACTTAATCTACAAGCACCTTGGACCACTTTTAGTGGCACCAAGGCGCCACCAAGCACTTCACGTCACTCCCGTAATAGAAAGAGCGGCGCCTAGGCGCCACGTATAAGAAATAGGCACCAAGCGAGGGAAACCTTGGCCCCCATTAGAAGGAAGCAGGCACCACTTCAGCACCAAGGCGCCTCTTTTTTTGGCACATAGACGCCACCTACAAGTGTGAAGAATTGCAGGAAAAGAAAGACCAAGACTCTGGTGCTTTGGAAGAATTCTAGCGCCGACAAATCGTTTTGGGGAGATATGATGGTTTAAGTTAACGTGTCAGGATTATGTGACGATATGTTGCTACAAAAGAAATAATTCTGAAGTAAAGAGGGCTTTTCTCCACCATAATTTTTCAATGCTCGACCCTTGTAGTGACACTGAGAGGGGAAGATAGAGACTGGAGAGAGTCGTTAGAGATCTACTGCAACCTTCAATCATGCTTTGCTGGAGGGATCCTTAGAAGAGTGTGACTGTTTGTGAGACTTCTACTAAGAGAGAACAAGTGTGTGAAATAATTGTAATCAAAGTGGTGAAAATGCAAAGATTGTATTGTAACTTCAAGTAATCCGGTGGAAAATATTGGTGAAATTGCTCTAAACTTAGTTTATGTTGATTTTTGCAATGAAATTTGTATCGTTTTCTCCATAATGAGAAGGATTTATTTTTCACTCCCTTGAATTGGATTATATGCAAATTATTATTGTTTTCATTACTTGATAGTGTGTAATTTGATTTGAAGTTGATTGTTTAGCATTATGCACGTAATTTACTCATAACCTGATTGCTTAGGATGTTAAAATGGGCTATGATCGAGTAATACGGGAGCAAACCAGTGGAAAAATTAGGTTTAACAACAATACTCTAAGAGAATATGAATATTGATGTTAGGAAAATTTGCGAACACTGGGATGCTTACATGGTTAGGGGATTAATTGTAATATGAAATCTCAATTTTCTTATGACCACCGGGAGGAATTAAGATAAACTGTTATTCCTGATTGTCAACTTCATTAGAGTAACTTAGATGGATCTGGTTTCATATGACCAATTCAAGAGAGGTTTTCTATCATTCTTTAAACTCAAAATTAGTTATAGATTTTATTTTTTGTAAAAATTATAATTATAAACTTTAAAATCACCAAATTTAGAACCTTCCGACTAGACTCAAAACCAGTAGAGGATCGATACACGGACTCAGTTCAACATGCTATTTGGTCGACACATATGCTTTCATGTATTTCCAGTGTTTTTTAACATTTCAATCATATCAGTAATATAGGCTTAGGAATATCTGGGAAAATATTGCAGTTGATTGCAATGTTATTTGTGCTCTATATACACTAACTCCATGAGGATTACTAATATATGTATTCTAAATCATCTACAAAATTATTTCTTAATAAAAAGATTTTATTTTGGATCTAAAATCATTTTACTTCATCCAGGATTCTAGTTCTTAATCAAATGAGAGTGTTGGAAACATATGGGGAGAAGCATTCTTCACAGTCAAGCATGGAGATGTGCATGTAATTCATCACTTCCTTCTTTCCTTTGTTTTGTTCTCATCCTTCATATTTTATAATTTTATGATTATTGGTTGAAAGTGCAATTATTTTTTATCATGTCTACTACAACATGATATCTACTATATTATTGATATTTAAATAGCTTGGGCGGCATTCTCTATCTTTTAACTTCATGTTAATTATACTAGAAAGCCTAAACCTTTTTACAACAATTGAATTTCAATCACTTCATAACTAATAGCATGCTTTCTAGTTGAAATTGTATGGTTATTGCATCATGTGATAGAAAATAAATGTACATTGCATGCTATATGTGTAGTATAAAACCAGAAGCATCCTACACACGCTTCAATCGACAGAGATGAGCTAAAATTTATTTTTAAGGTCCATAGAAAATTTTAAAACTTTTCAAAGTGACGAAGAGCACAAAGAACCATTTAAATTTAAAAAACGAGGGCAGCATTTTCTTCTTTAAGAAGAAAAAAAAAAGAATTGCTTCCCTCTAAATTAGTAAATTGGAAAACATTAAGTTTCTACCTGGAAGAGCTCACTTCAGTTTCAAGTCTCTGGATCCTTTGAGCTTCATCGCGAATGCATAGTAGATTAATCTTGACCTCCCTACAAAGTCTTCCCTCAAGTAAACGCACAGGTAACCAAAGCTTTGGTTCTACTTCTACAATATACGAAAGTGTGGTCCTATGTTCTCTCTCTGATAGGACCTCTCCATCTTCATGTTTTTCATCATCAATCTGTGAAGAAATGCCGATTTATCCTTAGTGTTAACAACAGTTGGAACTCAAACATATTGCATAAGTATCATAACTCAAACCATTAAAGCCGATCAATGACAAAAGACAGCCTTCTCAATAGATTAAAAAAATCATTTTTGTATGCTACAGGGCATTTACATACATACCACACAATTCCTATGTATTTACATACAACTAAACATTACTTTTTACATTTACACCACCCAAACCTTCATATCACATAAAAAATGTCACCATTTTTTACTTTTAAAAAGTGAAATACATCTTTTCATGCATATCTAAAGGTGGTAAGTATGTAAATATTGAAGTTTAGGTGTCAGATATGTAAATACACAGGATTTGAGTGGTACGTATGCAAATCTTCCATTCAATTAAGGATGAGTTTAAGAAAGCCAGAGCTGGAAAGTTATTTAAGGTGTGCGATTGAGCAATCTTTCTGTATTAAATGCCCAATAATATCCTTTAAGATTTTATACCAAGTTATTATTGCAACAATTGATAACAAAAGGGGATATGAGTCGGTTTGGTCCAGAACCGGCCTAAACCCAACTTTGGGCCAAATAAGCAGTAAGATAAGAGAGAGAGGAGTGAGCAGTCCAAATAGAGCAAAAAGCGGGCATAGCAACAACACTGAAAGGAGGTATAGAAATGATTGATAACATCTCCCTCGCATAGTGGCTGCTTTTGAGCTTCAACAAGGCAAATGGAGAGGAAGCCGTGGGAGGAGAAAAGAGGAAAGTAGCAGTGATATCTCCTTCTCTCCCTTACAGTGTTATCATCTTCAATGATTTGATTACTTAAATCCAAAACCCCAAACTTGCCTTAACTGCTTATGTTTGCTTCAAAGTAAATATATATTACCTTTCAAAAAAAAAAAGTAAATATAAATTAGTTACCGATGTAATCAACCATGACTTTGAGAGGCTCAAAAAAATTAAACAAAAGTAAAATTTTCAGGACTCATGGAGTAACGGTAAGTGTTTAAATTAAGGAGTTTGGGGCATTCAATTCTATGCTACTATCATAGTAATGCATGTTGTTTATAGTGTAGATTAATGTTAATTATTAAGTTCTTCAAATTACAACTTAAGAAAGTGTCAACGGAGAATTTTAGCAAACTCCGTATATAAGTGAAAAATAAAGAACAAGTATTATGCATATATCTAAATTAACCATTTAGCTTGTGATTAAAGTAGTTCATGATGAGGAATTCATCTTATATTACATTTGAGAATTTATTTAATTATTGAGATAAATTAGTTCACATATATGCATATATTTTATAGTTAATATTTAAATAGCTTTTTCAAGAAATGACTCTTTAAAAAATATTAAAGATTGAGTAATCTATGATGAATATTTTATATTGAAAGCATTAAATATTCCATGACCATCCAAGATTGATAATAAAGCGTAAATTAAAAAAAAATCATAGATCCATTAGTTACCAGAATATTTATAGTTGGTGGTCTTGGCCATTAATGTTATGATTTGCTCTATATTGAACGCATGATTAATTGAGATTCTTTCAAATCTAGGATTTATAAAGCACCATGCGTTGGAGCAAGAAATATCAATGAATAATCGAAACGGACTGCATGCGATTTCTATTTAGTAGGCAACTTTTTACTGGTAATGTACAATTTTCTCATTAGAGGAACATTCATTTCTATTTGTTATATGTTTTAATGATTGATAATGCATTGTCCGCTGTGTTTTATTTATTCACAGTATTTCATATGGTTATTTTGATAAAATGTGATAGCTAATTTTGTCATGTTATTTTTTGCAAAGATGGCTAAAAAGTTTAAATAAACTTTTTTATTACTGAAAAATAAGTGTCCCCCATAAAAATCATGAACTACATTAATACTTTATTAATTTTGATCAAAAGAATTAATAAAATCTTTATTATAAAACCTTTCTAATAAGATAAAATTTATAGAATATAAGCTTGCTTGCTTAATACAAGTATTATCATAAAAAACTTTCAGATATTAGCTAGTCAAACAGGCAGGTCCACAAATGGACAATTCTTTTGAGAAATTATTGAATTTTCATTGAATTAGCATCATCATTTCCTAATTTCAAGATGTAGTGGTAAAACCAACTATACATGTATGTAAAAATAAGAAAATGAAAATGCCTTATGTGCCTTTTATGGATACACGAATACAACACACAAGCAAGTGAATGTTTTGCAGTTGAATGCAATCATCATTAATATATACATATATATATATATATATATATATATATATATATACATACATATGATTCTTATTAACTATACCACATAATAAGCACCATTTAATAATCAAATTATTTGAGAACAGGTATTTTATACACTAAACTTTGTAGCATAATGTTCATTTTCTTATCTATTTCATTGATCATATTTATGATCAATGCCCTATATTTTATAATTTATTTTTTACTCAATAAGATTTCATGTAAGTTTATAACTTACATACCCGCATCTACTATTTTATAATTTTAAAGTATTAATGGTCCATCATCTTGAAGAGGGCTTTTAGGCTCATGTTTTAGGTATATCATCGTAAAATAGTTAAGGTTATAAGTTATTTTGTTGATTTGATACCTTTGTTAATTTTAGATAAGTTATTATAGTTGTTAAAATATATTATATTTTGGATGATAAATTAACAGGCATCATGAGATTCAGATAATTTGATGATTGATCAGTGAATGAAATTTTTTGAAATAATGTTTTACAATTGGAATTTTTCTCTAATTTTTTCAACCTACCATTCAGTACGACAAGGTATCTGTGATTTACTTTCAAATCGATGGTTGGGGTGTGACAATTGTGACCATGGGAAGATGAGTTGTGGCATTTGTGACCATAGAAAGGAATGCAAAACATTTTAAAAGGTATGACAATTACAAAAATCCAAATAATCAAGCTTTTAGATTTTTTCAACAACTTTAATGTCAACTCATAATCAGCATTTTTCCATAACACCAATAATTTAATGCACCATTATCTTAGAAACTTTTTTGAAAAAAATATATTGGGAGGGGGGGGTGTATTTACAACAACAAACCTTTATCGCACTAAGTGGGTCGACGACTTGAATTTTTTTCTCCATTGTGTCCTATTGGGAGTCATATTATCATTTAATTCTAAAAAATTAAGATCAATTTTTATACAACATACCCAAGTCTTAGAGGTCTTCCTCTACCTTTCTTAACATAATTCGAAAACTTAAACATTTACTCTCCTAACTAGATTATTAGATGATTGACGTTTGAAGTGCCTAAGACGACTCTCTCTAATCTTGTCCACCATTTGAGCTACATCAACTCTTTGACAGATACATTTGTTTCGCATTTTGTCTGAAAGTGTAAAGCCACTCTTCCATCGAAGCATTTTTATCTCAGTGATACTTAACTTTTTTTATGCTTCTCGTTTATGTTGGTAGTTTTATGTTTGTCTTTATTGGCCAACATTCTGCGCCATAGAGCAGCAAATAGAGCATTGCAAGTCTCACCACCATCTTATAAAATTTTCCTTAAGTCTAGGCAATACTTTTCTATCACACAAGGTCTGATGCATTCCTCCACTTCAACCATCCAACTTGAATTCTACTTATAACAACCCCATCAATATCACCATCAATTTGAACAACAAACCCGAGATATCCAAAACGTTCACTCCTTATAAGGGCGGAAAATATCTACCTATAAGATATTTAATAAATTGAAAAAAGGGTAGTTGACATTTCAAAATAAATTAAATTGTTATATAAAAGAGACATAGCATCTCAAAAGGACAAGTTTAAGATTTTTTTTGCCTCATGGTTGAGCCTTCAACCCATAACACTTCCATAGAATTTCAACAAATCATATCCACAATGACAAATATCCCTTTCATCATATCTTGTCATTCTCTTCCTCTCAATGCTGCTCAAGGGCTGCTTCACAGGCTTGTTTTCATTTCACATTGAACTCCATATTGGATACAACATGCATTTGATGGCACGTCATATGTACATCTTTAAGTATCATGGGTGTGATGCCAACATAATTTTGATAAGTTCACTTCCTACTAAAATAGCTAGTATCTTCTCTTCACAAAAGAGTGTGATGTCTATGTAGAGGTCATTGATTATGCTCCTACAAATGTGATAATCATTTTCATTTTAACTCATTACAACCCCTATACAGACAAAACCACATCAAATATTCATTTCCTAGCCCGCATTAAAGCCCAGAATATGTTATTATGGGTGTAAATCAAGCTTAAACCAGCTTAAGCTAATTCACATCCAAAAACGCTTGATCCAACTTTGAGTAGCCTAAACTTAAGCTATGCTTTTCCTTGCTTAGGTTGCAGTTCATGCTTCTATGACATGACAATCATTTTCCTTCTAACTCCTTAACAACCCTAAAAAAAAGCATATTAATTAGTCATTAGCTAACTCATCTTCAAGTTTAGAGTAAGTTTGCCACTGGCTGCAATTTATTAGAAAATAAAAAGAATACAAATAAAATGCAATTGGAATTAGAAAAAATAAAATGACTAAAAAATTAAAGAATAAATAAAAAGGCATTTTGGAGGGGCTTCTATGATCAAATAGTTTTGCTTATCATTCCAAAATGATTGTATAAGTATATATAGGTTAAGTGAAGATTTCCAGATACAATGCAATTCTAAATGAAAATTCATGACAATATTATTCAAAGGACACTTTTGAAAATCACGATTCAAGCATTGTCTCATAACTCTTTTGCATTGTTTCATGACACTTTTTGTATATTTCATACATGTGTGATCTACTTAAATTGTAGTCATAAGAAAAACTTATGGTTTGAATTCTAAAAATTCTATACAATTATTAAAATTCATGTGTTTAAATGAATCAAGCATGACAATGAAACAAGTGAATCACAAATAGTTGTCAATAACACATGAATGGTTGTGTTATTTTTTAAAATTAAAAGATTGGGATCATAAAGTGATGGAATCACAGGCCATTTTTTAAATTGTAGTATGGATTTACTACTATTCGACATAATGCAGTCACAGATTGACATCTCTTTCTTTAGATATTACTAAAAGTACTCATTAACTTAATATTTTTAATTTTGTGAAGCTAAACATTTGAAACTAAAATAAAAATAGAATTTTTTATTTTATTATTAAAAACAAGCTAGAATTTATTATAATAGAGTATAGGAGCATATGCCCAATGTTATTAATTAATCACACTATCTATTTAGGTTAGATTTTGAAAAGCAAGCTAGGGAGGATATATTTGTTGTTGAAGAGTGAGAACTTCACTAAATTGAATATAAGGAAAAAGAAGATTTAAACTATTTATCTCCAATTGATCACTTTGTCATTTATTAACCAAATTCAAAATTATATATTTCTTATGAACAACAGAGATTTTCTCCTGGCCGAAGACAAATATTAACCCCTATGAAATTAATGAAAATCAATATAAATGCTATCTAGTCTTTAGTTTATTAGATTCTAGAGTTGGCTTTGATTGCTTCGATTAATATAACAGACATAGGAAAAGTATGGAAAATTTACATACATACCACATAATTCTTATGTATTTGCATATTTAACGCTCAAAACTTGATATTTACACTTATAAAACCTTGTTGTCATAAAAATATGCATGAAAAAGTGTATTTCACTTTTAAAAAGGAAATGATGGTGGCATTTTTCATGTAAAGTTAAAGATTTGAATGATATGCATGTAAATATAAATAATTAGGTGTTAGATATGTAAATACATAAGACTTGTGTGATATGTATGTAAATGGCCCCAAATGTTTTTTAATCAAATTATGAAAATGAGGAAGAAGTAGTAGCAACTTCTGTTAAGAGAAATGGCTGTTACCTGTTCAATATACCACTTGCCTTCAAAAGTCTTGAAGTCGCCTTCAACCATCCTAAACTCAATATCCCTCCTCCAGCCAAAGGGAATGGCTTCAAGATCTCCCTCATGGCACTCCAAAACTCCTTTGGCGTTAAATTTCAAGCCCAAGGCCAGATTCTGCTCACCAACCTTTCCCATTTTCGAAGAATGATTAATTTCCCAGTCCCAATTTTCAATTCGGATGTATAATCTTAAATCTTCAAAGAATTGCAATACGGCAAAATGACCACCTGATAAAGCTTCGCAAAATTCTCCCTCTTTTCCAGCAACTGGCTCACAGCCAAGCTTGGAATAAAGTTAGCGAGGCCATTGTAGTCCGTCAGAACCCTCCATAGCGTGATTAGGTCGGCATCCACTCGGACACGGGATTGGATCCGCCGCCTATTCTTCTTGCCGTCAACCTTCAGAACCTCGATCTCGAAACCCTCGTCGCAGGTCATCTCCTCCAGGTAGAAATCCCTTTGTAACTTCTTCTCTGTGAAGTCTTCGGTCTCTTCCGAGTGCAGCGATTCCACTGGGGCGGACTCAATGGGTTCCGGTGAAAACTTTGAGAAGATGAAGAATCTCCGACGGTAGAAAGAAGGGGTTTCAGAATAAGACTGCGCGGGAGAGAAGTGGAATGAAGTCCGGCGAGTGAGAACGTCAGATGAGTGGAACAAAGATGGCCGGAGGACGAAGAATGAAGAGGAAGGCATGGCCGGAAATACGAAGCGCACTTCAACCATGCAAAGTGGAGAACACATTCATATTCACCAAAAACATGGAATTTTTTTAATACATGCATTGGTATTATTATTAATTTTATTACTATATAAAAAATTAAATACCTAAATTCTTATATTTACTCGTTGTTTGCGAACAGCTTGTATAACAGCTCATGTTCGGCTTGTTAGTTAAATTAACGGGCTAAACACGAACAACACCAACAAATATTTGTTCGTTCGTGTCTGGCTGGTTCTGGCTCGAAATACTACTAATCAATTATATATATATATATATATCTTTGATGAGTAGTATTTTTTAAAAAATTATTTGACTACGAGGCTACAGTGATGAGTAGTATTTTTTAAAAAATTATTTGACTACAAGGCTACAGAGATAAATAATCAATTAAAAGCATTAATGAAGAAAAAATAATAAAAAATATTAAATTCGATTCAAATGATGTTTTAAATCTTGTCACAATCTTTAATATCTTATGGCTACATGATTAGGGTTGTCAAAATGCCTCTTCGTTCGTGAACGGCTAGTGTTCGGCTCGCTAAGATAAACGAGCCGAACACGAGCTGGGCCTGGGCTCGCTGTGTTTGGCTCGTTTACACCCTTACTTAGAATAATTAAAATAAAAAATTAATTATGATTTAATTTTTGGTATGATTAGAGCATACATCATGATGCATAGCAAAAATAGCTAAGATGTGTAAACAAAACACCATAATCAATCTATAATTGAATCATATCATGCCATAATCAGATCATATTTGAACCTTGATTGAACTATCTTTAAATCATATATAATTGATGATTGAACCAAATTCGACCTTCATTCAAATAATCTTAATCCTTTTATTTAATAAATTATACCAAATTTATTCCATCTTGCTTTTTAAAGTGTAATTTCCATGATAAATTCTTCTAAATGATTAATGATAATGACTTTCATAGTTCTATATTTATTATTTATTTTGGCTTTCTTTTAAACTTATTTTGTCTTTTTTTTTTTTGTTTCAAAAGCACTACTATTTTGTATTTGTCTTGTCATTGCAACCCAACAAACTTTACATTATCCGCTTAACCACAAGTTTTGTTGATCCTTATTGAATATTGCTTGTTTCTATGATCACTTAATATGCTCATAAGTTTGGCAGATATATAGTTTTGTTTTAATTTTTTTAAGTTGCAATTTTTTTGTAAGTTGTTATTCTAATTAAATTTGTCTCTGGGGTTTTTAATTAATTTAAAGTAAAATACTTAATAGATACTTTTTGGTCTATTAAATTCTCCTCTTTTCAATTAAATTCTCCTATTTTCACTGAGCATAGAGGTATTTTTATTTTATTTTTATGATTTTTATACACCAAGATGTGAATTTTTTAAGTTAAATATCATTTTTGTATTTAATTAATTTAGAAAACCCCTATATATCTACTTATCTGACTCAACACCATGTCAAACTCGACGACTTCGAAAGACCACGCGTCGCCCCGTGATTTGCTGCGCTTTACACCTTAGCTACAGACTCGGCCTGCGATTCGCGTTCCATCTCCTCGTTCGGCCCGATTTTCATCGTCCACTTGATACACGCGCGAACGGACAACATACATTCATCGTCGCCGATCGTTCATAACCCATGAACCGTGCATGTTTTAACCTTAAGATCTCGCTCGATACTTAACTAAATTAAGTGTAGTTTGTTCTTACACCTTCATCTAAGTGAGACAAACACATCCATATGACTAGATACACATGAAAAATAAACTTCTTTCATAAGGGTCCAAATTGAGGCAAAATTAGGGATTTCTAAGCTATACGTTTGCCTAAGAGGTGAGACATCGATTGTGTTGGTTGAAAAGCTTCGCCTTGGTCCCACAAACGTCCTCCAAGTGTCAATTCACTCTATGGTTGGGTCTAGGTATGACTTTGGTTGGAGGGTGGCTCGAGTGTGGTCTAGAGTTAGGTTAGAGAGCTTGGGAATGGAGGCTTTTGATCGGGTAAATGATTTTGGGCTATGGGGAAGCTTATAGAAGTGTCAATTTGGAGTTTTGATAAGTTTGGTGAAGTGGCCGAAAAAGCCCTGGATTTGAGCTTGGAAATTAGGGTTCTATGGTCTGTTTGAGGCCTTGAAAATGATAAGGATGAGCTTTGTGCAATTGCTAGAAGGGTTTGAAGACGATTGGGCATAGTTTCCCCTAGGTTAGTGCACTTCTCCTTGTTTGCTGGTGGGGTGGTGGTGGATTTATAGACACGACCATGGTGGCCAAGTGGGCAAGCTGAGGTGTTCCATATGTTGCTGAGGTGGAGGGCTGATAAGAGTAAGAATCCAATTGGATTGAACTACATTAGATGGGTATAATTGTGAGTGTTGACCATGGTGGCCCCCTTGGGTTTGGGTTTTCCGGTGGCCAGGGTGGCTGAAGCAAGGAGATTTAGTGTGTAAATTTTGCAAATATTTTTCAATATTACAAAATACACACGGCATATATAACAATAAATATGCAATATAATCCCAACAAAAATACCTTTTATGAAAATAATTTATCTTTAAATTTTTTTTTAAACTGTCAAATCCCCTTTAAAATCAACGCAAGTATACGTATCGCTCAAGTACTAAAGGGCTCTAATGGAGTCCTAGATATCTCCTAGATATCGATCTACAGGGAAGTTGGAAAAACCTATAAGTAAATTCTAAAAATTATTTTATAATTTAAAAATACAAAAATAAAACTAAAGTGTGAAGTTTGAATATTAACTACTAAAGTGAATGTTATATAAAATGCAGTTGAAAGAACAAAGTTAACTAACTTAAAACTAAACTTTTAAAAGTAAAATTATGAGAACTAAACAAAGTTTTTGTTGATAGAAGATTCAAATTTAAGAAAGCATCATTCTCCTTTATAATGAGTATTTGGATTGTGAAGAAATTAAAATATATATATATATATATATATATATATATTGTTTTGTACCAAATATGAGCAATCCTATTCTTTACCCTCTTCCAAGCACATAAGGAACATTGACTAATCCAAAGTTTGGTCTCTAATTCTGTGGTTGGGCTGGGAGGATATCAGCTGCCACTCCAGAGCTCCCACTACTCCCTCCTGTGAGGGCCTGTCAACTTAAAATCTCCAATTCTGCATCCAACAAACTATATTTCTCTATTTATTTGCACCCAATCTCATGGATACTCTTTCATGAAATCAAATGTGACTCTCTTTATGTTGTAGAAATCATATCCCTTTTGAGAACATATGTTTCTCAACAAGTTTTAACATTTCAATTGACCAAATCAAAAAATAAATGAATATCGGAGTTCAAATCATCATAAATTATTAAAATTTAAAACCGTAGAAAACAAAATTAATTCTTCACAAAATTATATCTCAAAATAGGGAGAAGGATAAAAAAGACTCTCAGAATTTATGAAAAGAATACGACAAAACACAAATTTCTTATATAAAAACAAGTTTACAAAATAAAAGAAATAAAAAACACAACTTATCTCACAATCCTTCCTAAGCAAATCCCTAGAAGTTCTCTCCAAGTCTTTCTCTCTTTACAAACACACTCAATTCTCTCTTAGAAAAGTAATGAAGAAGAAAACTCTCACATTTTCTCTCCTCTTACAACTCTAGAAGAAAATCTCCTCTCCTTGCCTTTCACGCCACCACCTTCTTGCCTTTTCGTCCCCCTTCCAACTCTTTCTCAACTCTTTGAAGCCTCCTTCTTTTATTAGGGGCTGCCTCCTTTCAAAAGGAATTCAAAATTCCCTCCAAAATTTCCTCCAAAAGTCAACTCTTTTGAATTCAAAGATGTGTCATTTGCTCCAAGAGACATATCTCTTCATAAAAGAACCTACTAAAGTGTCTAGACATATTGAATCACTCCAAGGGGTGTGTAGAACAAGTGTCCCTTTGAAAATTCGTACAATAGTCGTCTCGAACCGTCTTAATCCTCAAAAAAGTCATTTATGGCGTATCATGCGCCAGCTCTCTGTCAAACGGCGCATCATGCGCAAAAATTCCAAAATTTGTTGTTTTGGCTCCAAATTTCGTCTTTTTTGTCCTTTTTGCTCCAAATGCCTAAAAATGATATACCTGCAACAAAAAACATGAAAATATCCTTCTTTAAAGTGCAATATCATCAAAAATAAGCATAAAATATCTGCTTAAAATAGTATATTATTTTGGTGAATCAGATGTTGGCCAGGCCAAGAGAGGTTGATAGCTGGCTCATGGATTTCAAGTGTAGAGAATGGTGAAGTCAATTGAGTGGTGTCATGTGTTCATGAGTGGATTGAAGTGGGATGGGTTTTGGGTTACTTTTAGGTTATACTTGGGTTATGTCCATGGAAAGGGCTTGGTTCATCTCCCCATGGTGGCTAGTGTGATTTTTGGTCTTTGGGTTCAGGTCATGAAGTCCCATCCATGGGGCTAGGGTTTAAACATAGGCTATGGATGAGGTGAAGCACTTTCTTGAAGGCTTGAAAGTAGGTCATTCTTTTGCCATTTAGGAGAGAATGGTATGTGTGGGGCCAAGGAGGGTTGCATGTGGCTTGACCATGGCTTAGAGGCTTGCATATGACTTTGTTATTTTCATGAGAAAGGAAAGTGGAGAATGGGGTGCGTTATGAGGTGGTGTCATGAGGCCAAATTTAGTTTATCAAATCATGAACTTTAGGACATAGGGTTTGATTTTAATGAGATGGAGGAGAGGGGAATTCCATTTCATGTGGGCTCATTTGATTTTGAAGAAGATTAAAAGTTGGGCTTGGAATTCGAGCTTTGAATTTGGGCTTTCAAATTTAATGTAAATAGTTTAATTTTGGGCTTTAAAAATTGGTATGGTGGGCTTGGTGGAGTTTAAATGGGGATGAAAATTTTTCATTACAATTTTCATAAAGCCTTGAGTGGAGGTAGAGGAAATTCAATAATTTTGAAAATTTTGGTGAAAATTAGACATTTTGGGTAAATTGCGCATTTTGGGAATTTTGGTAAATTTGGGGAATTTTGGGTGAATTGAGGTA